AATGATTGAATAGGCCCACTCGTCTTTAATTCGATCCAATTTGAAACCTACTTAGGAATATTGAATTAAAACAAAATAGACTAAAAACTAAATAAATTAAAATAACTAAAATAATCTCAAAAATCAACATAAAAATATCAAGACTATTAAGCCCAATTTAAATACAATAGGAGTGAAAATAACTTTATATTATAGAGTTATCAACCGCCACTAAAAACAGCGTTGCGTGCGACGAGATCTTGTCACCACATTGCAGGTAACAAGCTCGGGCAAGATATCGTTGCAACGCCATTGGACGTTGCTACTTTGGTGATGATGGCGTGTGACTTGGCGTGCAGTATGAGACAGGAGCGATATCTAGGGTGGGGCGGCGATGGTGACAAGGGGAGAAGAGAAAGGAAGAGAGAGGAAAGAATAGAGGGGGAGAAAAGAAAGCCTGGTAGATAATGTTGTCCTTATATTATCTTAAAATAGTAATTCACAAACTTTGCTACAGGAGAGGTATTTTTTAATACTAACCCTATAGAAGCGTTAATGCACAAACTCATCCTCGACTAAGATTGTACATTGGGTTTGGTCGGTTTACTAAATTTTGTAGGCCCCGTTTATTTCGTTGATTCGAGTTTAAAATTTGAGATTGGGTTTGCCATAGACTTGACCTATGTGGCAAATTTCATAAGGGTTAAGCTAGTTATAATGTTTTAAAGTTTGGGTGGGTTGAGCTAGTTGGGTCACATAACGACCTAATTGAAAAATACTGAAGGCTTTATCCACTGCCACATGTCTAAACTTTGAATTCAGAATACTAAGGACCCGTTCGGTTCGCTAATTTGAGTTGAGATGTGATGTTGTGTGAGAGTTTTTTACTGTAATAAAAAAGTTAAATGTGACTGTTTCTTAGAGCTTTTTACTGTAGCAAAACTCGAATTCTAAACTCGAATCAGCGAAATGAACGGGGTCTAACAATATTCCTCATAATTTCTTCCTAAAATACGAATGATAAACATCAATAATTGATATCCTACCCTAATACTTGAACGGAGTACCATAGTATTAAAAATTTCGACAACTGTCAATTTTCTTGTCGAAATACAAAAAAATAAAAAACACAAAAAAAATCACACAAAAAAAAGTATAAGCGGCCAGCAAGCCACAACCACGGAGATCTCACTAGTAAAAAGGGCGACATCTCCCACGGCGGTCATTAAAATTGTGAAGGATGATAAATGAGATAAATACTCATTAAAATTTATGAATCTAAATTTTTACTATTTATTTTTTTAATATTCTATTTAATTAAATAATTAATTAGTTAAAAAAATATTAATTAAAAATAAAAAATAAAAATTCAAATCTTCTCAAAAAGTAAGTACAACAATTTTCTTTTATAATATAATGCCTAACAGCTTATGGGCCATAAATTTTTACTATTTATTTTTTTTAATATTCTGTTTAATTAAATAATTAATTAGTTAAAAAGATATTAATTAAAAATAAGAAATAAAAATTCAAATCTTCTCAAAAATAAGTACAACAATTTTCTTTTATAATATAATGCCTAACAGCTTATGGGCCAATCCTTAATAATGACGATTGTGTTTTGCTTAATCACGCAACAATCAGAATGCGAGCGTAACAATGCATCATCATTGTTCTTTAACCATCACCAATCATCACCACCGATCGTTTGCTTCAATGGTAAGGCAGCGGCATTGATCTCCACAGATCTTGAATTCGAGTTAGCTAGTCATATAATCTACTTTGCCTTCATTGAGACCGTTCATTTCGTCGATTCGAGTTTAGAATTTGAGTTTTACTACAGTAAAAAGCTCTTAGAAACAGTCACATTTAACTTTTTTACTACAGTAAAAAGCTCTCACACAAAATCACATCTCAACTCGAATGATTCGAGTTTAAAATTTGAGTTTTACTACAGTAAAAAGCTCTCAGAAATAGTCACATCTAATTTTTTTACTACAGTAAAAAACTCTCACACAAAATCACATCTCAACTCGAATCAACGAAATGAACGGAGTCGAATATCTGAGTACACCATCTTATTAACAGAAATAAGAAAGAAAAAAAAAAAACAAGTTTTTAGCTTTAATAGTTTATAGCCTTATTGCCAGGAAATATAGTAATTGGACTTGTAAATCATAAATTAAAATGAAATAAAGATAAAAAAGAAAGAAAGAATAAAAATTTTAACGTGCACTCTTTCAGATTTTTTACAAATAATTGTAAATAAGTATATATAGGAATGAATTCTAAGAATATAATTTATGAATCAATCAGGATAAATTAAGTTACCAATTAAACAATTAATCAATCTTTATAATTCACTTAAAAATATGTTCACACCTATATTACGACTAATTATTCTAAAAATAGAAAGAACATTAAGAATTAATTACACAATCAACTCAATATTCAACAAATAACCTATTTATGAATCTATATTAAATAAATAACATATTTTAAAACTCCACGTAAACGTTTTATTTATTTAGTAAAAAGAATTTTTTTACATAAAAGTAATTTTTTTTCAAGTTAATAAAGATTTTACACCAGGTAAATTAATAATTTTTAATAGTCGGAAATTGTATATTTACCTGTTATTTACTCCAATTTCAAAAATTTCCTATTTAATTCCATTTCTGTTTTACATCATATATATATATATATATAATATAGGTCGAGTAACATAAGAAGAAAAATCTATCTTCGAACTAGAAGCTTTCTATATATAAATTCCCACACGCGGGTGCTCTAAAAGATTTCCTGAATTGAAAAGAAAGGTAAAATTACAAAGGAAAAGATTGATTAGCAAAAACAACTCATATATTAGAATTCAGAGAGGAAAAAGAAAAAGAAATATTTGAAAGAAAAGGCAGAAAAAGTATTAATACGTACAAAATAAGTGCATCGCCGAAATTATAGAATGAAAACAATTGACAGTTTCAATCAAAATCGCCATTTTTTTTTTAAAACTTTTCTTGCTGAGAGCATAATCTCTTCCATGATCTCTTTCAGCTGGTCTGCGGAGGAGCACCTTTCGGAACTCCTGGGCGTTTTGGACCCCTTGGCGTTTTTATGGGGATGCCTCTACCTTTTATGCTTGCTTTCTGTAAACCATTTATACATAATAATAATAATAAGAGATCCGTAAATATAATTATAAGCAAACGTGATATTTGTGTGCAAAAATATCAAAAAGAAGGAAAAAAAAAGTGAAAAGACCTGAACAGATCTCAACTTGGGTTCTTCTCCATCTTCGGATCCTGGATTTTTTTTTTTTTTTAAGGAAAATATGCAACACTACTTTAGAAAAATAAGAAGAAAAAATTAGCATAACACTTTCACAATATGATAGTTTTACCTCTATAAGTGTTGCAACCAAATTTGATGCTATCAATCATGTGGAGAAATCTCTTCTTCAGATCTTGAGCAAGTTTCTTCATTGAATACTATTTCTCGATAGGCTAATATATATATATATATATATATATATATATATATATATTTGGGATAAAATCAAATCAAATGAGTTTATAGCTAGCCCTAGCTAGTTCCTTGACGCCTGTACGGCCCGGCTCTTTGACACATAAACAGGCGAAGCGCCATGTGCTTAGCTTTCCTTATATTTCACACCACTTTAATATAATAATCATGGTATCATATTGCTTTTTTCATCTTTCATACCAATCCAACTTCCACTCAAGGCGGTGAAAACCACTCAATAGCTACTCATTACTCATTGGCGACTGAACTGCTCACTAATAAGAAAAAAGCATGCATATTACATACATACATAATCAAATACTTACTTAAAAACAAAAAAAACAAACAAACAAACCTTCTAGCTAATGTCCCTTATACCTATTATACCTAATATCTATCTATTAAGTTCGTTTCGCTAGTTAAAACCATAATTTAAATTTTTATTACAGTGTTTTTTTTTAAAAAATTTAAATTTAATTTTCTCGAATACAATGTTATATGAATTCACTTTTTGAACAAAATGAGTAGTGGACGTATATAATTTAAAGAATAAGTGAACAACAATATGTAAAGTTGGAGGAACTACTCAAAATGCCCATCAAGATCAGCAAATTAAAAGAAATATATTCTCATGATATGTATATAAAGGGTATCAATATATATGACATAAAAAAGAAAAAGAAAATGCAAAACATTCCGACTTGAGTGATTCGAGACATGAGATAGAGGTGGGCTCGAATCCAAATCGGGAGATAGGAGTGCTCTAAAAAGAAATAATATGTACACTACTAGTTAGTATACAGATGTTCTCATAATTGTTAGATTTTAATAAAAAACTTTCATGTCTTCTCAATTCTGTTCGACACTAATATAATCAATGTCTTGATATAGCTCAGTTATAAACAACCAGAAGTGAACATCAATATGAATTCAATACAAAATGATACAACACTACAACCTCAAATCCTAACAAAAAATTTACTCATAGTGGACAAGGACTTAATCATTATTATTTCCAATTTCGTCATGAATTCTTGATTGTCTGCAGCTCATTTGAATTATCTGAATCTTTATTATGAAAATTAATTACGATGTCAGCAACCAAATGCATCTCAATTTTATGACTCTCAACTAAACACTACTCTCAAAATTATTGCAGGCATAATCTAGCGGTAATTTCTCATCAAACTCCACAATAAAGTATCAAGTTCAAATCCTTAAATCTGAAAAGAAAAAAAAATTCTGTTTGTCAAACCAAATCATCCTTATTCACGGACAATTGCTCTTCATATCAAAGATTCAAAGTTATTAAATGCATTGTGAGAGGCAATCCGTGTATTTTTTGGTTTTCTTATGTTTTCTCGATTAATCTGTTTGACACTAATATAATCGATCAGATGCCTTGATGCCTCATTTATATCCAACAAGAAATGAAGATCAATTCAATATTGCCAAACAAATTAACGAATAATAATAATAAAAAGAATACAAAAAGTACCTCAAATCCTAACAAAGAATATAGTCAACTCAGGCCCGGAATGCCCATCAGGGCTCAACATGTACAAAGTCTCAGAATCCCTGGACCCCACAACCCTATCAAAGTGGGCCCTCATGTAAGCCATCTCTCCATCAGGACCTTCCACGTCAGAATTCCCCGGCAAAACCCCAGCCCCCATTGAAACAGCCTTCAAAATTTCCATCACATTCAAGTCCTCCTCATTGGCCTCTCTCTTCACCCCATACCCACTCTTCTTCCCATCGCAATACATCGTCCAAACCGGCTCCTCCATCAGCCGCGTTTTGTCCTTTTCCTGTCGTTTCTCACACTCCAAAGCGATCCTCACCATCCCAGACGACATCTCTCTCTGCAAAACGTTCGTCTGCATGGCCAGCTCCACCACCAGGGAAGGCAGGCACCGGGGCGTCTCCTGCACGGAAAAGCTCACGCGCCCCTTCCGGTACCCGAACAGGGTCCCCGTCACGCGCTGCCCGTTCGAGGACCGGTGCACGACGGTGCCGTACTCCGGGAGGCTCCCCATGGCGGCGGGGATTGCCGGCATGCGGCAGGCGGTGGGGGCGATGATGGGGAGCGACCGGAAGACGGAGCGGAATACTCGGAGGACCTTTGTCGTTTTGCCGTGGTGTCGTTTTTTCTGGGAGGGTTGGATTAAGGACACTTGTCGGCGTGGCGGCGGCGGCGGAGAGGGAAGGCAGGATGGTGGGGGTGTTTTTCTAGAAGGTTTCGGTGGTGGTTCGTCGGAGTTTTGGTGGTCCGCCATTAATGGAGGTTGGTACCAGGTTTCGGAGAGATGAGAGTGTGTGTGTGTGACGAGATTTTTGGTCGTTGAAGTCTGTTATAAATTCGCGGTTTGAGATGAGTTCTCGGAGGAGTTTGAATTTATAGTTGATGACTTTGCTTATTATTGGCTTTTTTTTTTTTTTCTCTTTTTTAAAAAATTCTTTTAGAACTTTTTTTTTTTCAAATTTTTTAGGATCCCGTAAGGGCTTATACTAGTAGTGCTTTTAGAAGATGGTGATGAAATGAATTGTTCATGTATTTTCATGTATTTCATTGATCAGAGTATGAAATATATATACATCCTATGAACCAAAAACTAATCAACTACAGCTAATGTATTTATTAATCATTTAGCTAATGGAAATCAAATAAATTGATTACAAACAAATACAATTAAGGAAAGAATAATAAAAGGATATGAAAATAATAAAAGATATATGCAAATCATGTCTTGACAGTGCTTGTTTTTTACTGTTAGATTTGAAGAAAAACACATCAAGATAAAAAAAAATAAAAAAAATAAAAAAATAAGTGTTTTACTATTAGATTTGATGAAAAACACATCAAGATAAAAAAAAATAAATTAAACATACAATTTTTAATACAAAACTAAGATCTACTGATAGTTTTTATATTTTATATTCTTATACAAAACTAAGATCTGCTTTTTAAAATTAAAACTAAAAATAAAAAAAAAAAGAGGAAGGATATGTGTTTGTTAAAACAAGTCAGAAAATTTTTTATGATCAATATTCTTTTATTTTTCACCAATTTTTATAATGAATATTAAGAATGTCCTGTATCTTTATTGCTTGATCATAAAAAGTTGCTCTAAAAATATAAAAGTCCAGATATTTTAGTATGCATTATTATATCTTCTTTTATATTTATTGACATGAGTTGTACGCAGTTTAATTAATTAGTGAAAAAAAAAAAAAGAAATACGTGTTCCAAGATAAGATCATAAAACGGGTTATCTATGCAAAGCTTCCACTAGCTCTAACCTCACAATCTCAGCATAAGAGAGAGTTTCACACCTTGTCCACCATCTTCTCACAGCAATCAGAACATAAACCCAAAAGAAACAAAAAAAAAAAAAAGGCACAATCAAGAAGAACAACAAATTGACGAAAAACGAGCCTACGTTGTTGCACCTCTTCCAGTTGAGCCTAATTTTTTTTCGTTTTTTTTTTTTTTTGTTTTAGGTAATTGACACATGTAGTCCATAACCTATTTCAGATCCGTTTAGTTCGCTGATTCAAGTTTTTAATTCGAGTTAAGATGTGATTTTATGTGAGAATTTTTTACTGTAATAAAAAAATTATATGTAATTATTTTTAAAAATTTTTTAAACTCGAATCAAATCGGTGAACTAAACAAGATAAATAATAACAGTTTGGTCCCTCTATTTTCAATTTTAGCAAAACGTCTCTCAAACTCTTTAAATAGGTAATTAACACCTTCCAGTTCATATCCGTCAAATTTCTCACAGAAAATTACACGTGGAACCTCACGTGACCCCTTTTACTCAGAAAATACCAAAAATGAATTTATTTTTAAATGGGTCTTTCTCTCCTTCTCCTACAAAGGCTAAATCCTAATTATTAGGAATTCAACCATGGAATTAGACCTCCTCCTCTGCGCAAGCCGGACCTCTCGACGTTGCAAGTACAACCCCTCCGCCACAGAACTCGTTCGACCTTGAAAGACCCTCTGTTGCGAGCGCAATCGCCGCCATCGATCTCGCACATTGCCGCCGCCCTAACCCCTCCGTGTCGAGCCTTAATCTTCGCCTCACAGATCTTTTGGCGCCGAGCCTCCTGCCAGCCAATCGCTGCCGACACTGCAAGCTAGATCCGCTGAAAGCTTTGCCTACAATGGTTTGAAAGGGAGGGATGGAGAAAGAGAGAAAGAGGGAAAGATAACAAAATGGTGGTGATGATTCTTCAGAATAGTGGTTCCAATTTGTTTATCTATGTATTTTGTGAATATCTGTACGTGGATTTTATTTGAATTTATTTTATGGATTCTTCTTTTCCTCTTTTTTTTTTTTTTTGTAAAATTTATTATTTTTTCTTTCTCAAATCTGTGTTCTTCGACGATTTTTGAGGGCCTTTTAGATCTTGTGAAATTGAAGAACCCTTAGATTTAGAGGGTGTTTGGTATGAGGATTCGTGTCATGATTCGAATTATAATTTGTGACTCGTTACAGTATTTTTTTTCACAAAAAAATATACATAAATTGAGAATAATTCTAAATTATTATTCTGAATCTGTGAACCAAACGTCGACTTAGCCACCACTAAACCCACATTTCAAACCCAATTAGACAAGACATACACTTTTACAATTATACGCTCACTCAGAATATCACGTGTGAACTTCCGTCAGAAAATTAACAGAGATGGATGAAAGGGAGTTAATTTGCACCGTTTAAAGAGTTTAAGGTGTATTTTGTCAAAATTAAAAAAAAAAAGAGACCAAACTGTTACCACCTTAATAGGTTAGAGATTATCTGTACTAATTATTATTATTTTTTTGCACTTTTTTAATAAGTTTTCTTTTTAAATTTATTTTCTCTTTTGAAATAATATGATTTTACTTAACTGTTTATAAATAAATAGTAGTGAATTCAAATTATGTGCTATGAACGTGACTTCTCTGTTAAATTGTTAACGGTACTTATCCATTTTGGTCCATTTGCAACTATTTTAAGAGTTGGGGGTGTTTTGTCGATGGCTAAGTTGTCATATGCTAAAAAAATTGACTATATTTTATGCTAAAACATGCGATGTTGTGTATTCCAAAGCGAATTAGAAGAAATTTTAATTAAATAGAATTACGACTGCTTATAATTGTTTGGTCTAGTCGCAACGAAAATCTCAGTGGATAGGGTTTCGAGAGAAATCAATAAATGATAAACAAAACCAAAGTAGTACACTTTCTTAGCAACCCTACAATGTTGGTAAATAAAGTTAAAAAAAATCAATAAATGATAAAATAAATGACATACCATTTATATATAGCCTAGAAAATAGGGCATCTCAACTATCATACAAGAAAAAGAAGAAGTAGAAGCCAGTATTAACAAGAATAGAATAAGGGTAATTGGCACAGTTAGTCCTTAATTTCGAACATGGTGACATTTTGGTCTTTGAACTTTAATTTTGGAATTTTAATTCTTAAACTTTCATTTTGTTAACAGTTTTTGTCCCCTAACAGTAAAATTGGTGAACGATTTTTAAAATTTAACAAAAATCATCACATATCCTGATGACTTATAATTTTACAGAAAGAGTTACGTGATATATAAATTTTCTCATTATTACTATTAAAACCTGTTAAAAACTATACCATTTTACACAAACTGTAATTATTTATATAAAGTTTTAAATTACTATGCGATAAGATTCAAAAACCGTTCACCAATTTCACTGTTAGGAACCAAAACTGTTAAAAAATAAAAGTTCAAGGACTAATATATATATATATATATATATATATATATATTAAAATTAAAAGTTCAAGAATTTAAATATTTCTACGCTCAAAGTTTGTGAGACTAATAGTGTCAATAACTCTTTATACAATGAAAATAGGGAAACATGTTGTTTGTTTCCTTATAAGCATTTTTTTCACGTCGCTGAAAAAAAAAAAAAGAAAAAAAAGAGTTGGGGAGTGAATACTCTTATACGGGGAACTTACAATAATCTTTGGGAGAAAGAGAAAAATAGGTCAAGACTTGAGATGAATTAAAATTAATAGGCCAATAGTTTACATAAGTTAATAAATAAGCTAAATTACTGTTTTCGTCCATAATTTGTCTGGTTATGAACCATAACTTGACAAGTTATTGTCCATAATTGTCCATAACTTGTCTGACTATGAACTATAACTTGACAAGTTTGTCCATAAATTATCTGGTTATGAACCATAACTTGACAAGTTATGGCCTATTAATTTCTATAACTAAAAATTGGCCTATATACTTTCTTAAGCTTTTCATAATATTAGCCTATTTTCTACTATTTCCCATAATTCTTTCAATTTTTTTCCAGTGTAATTTGTTCATATTTTGCTCTATATAACATATAGTATATTTATATACATAGCATCGAACTGATTTAAATTTTTTTAATTACTAATTTAATTACGTGTATCGCACGTATTGAGTTCAAATAAAAAATTAATGGAAATCCTAGGTACAGTGTAACAGTACTGTAGTACATAGCACGAAATAATTGTGTCATCGATTCAGTGATTAATCACGATACAAAGTTAAGAACAAATAGAGAAAAGAACGTAAGGTGGGGAAAGAAAAATGAAAATAAAGAAGCGGGCATAAAAATTCCAGAGGCCTTATTGATCTTCCTTAAATTTAGATAGAGTTGAAGAATATAATATCATCTCTGCATTATATATTTAATGTGAAACAATATAATTAGAATATTTTATGTCAAGTAACAAGTGAATTTTTGAGAAAAAAGATTAAATCAAATTATTAAACATTATGAAAACGAAAAAAAAAAAAAAAACTAATTAATGTGATTGATTACTATCTGATATTTCATATCAAGAAGGTAAAGATTTACTCAGCCATCCATGCATTTTAATAGCAATAAACTAATTAATTAAACAGTGGAGGAGTGCTTTCGTTCCACGGCTCTCTTAAGGAAGCTATCGTCTTCAAGAATCATCTGAACCGGCGAAAACCCTAACCCATCGGCGATTGCTACCATCATCTTCTTTGTCTCTGCCGTGTACTCCGCCAGGCTCACCGCCCCATCGGAGTCGTGATCGAACTGAGAGAACAGCGAACGGTAGACCTCGTCGTCCTTGGCCGGATCATTCTTCAAAACTGTCCCGGTGTCGTCAGACTCTATCACCCTCAAAGACTGCAGCTCCTTCAGCATCTCGTCGTAGCGGAGGAGTCCGTCGTTGTCGGTGTCTAGCTCGGCAAAACGACGTCTTACGGCGAACGTGAAGGCTTCCTCATCCTTGATAAAGTTGAGGATGGTGGCACCATCCAAGATCTCTGTGCTCAACATGACTGATATATGATCGCAAAACAAAAGCAAATTATTAGAAGTTAGATATAGGAGATATTTGATGTGTTTGATGAGAAAGAAAAAAGCCTTTTATTGCTATTTATAGATTATAGAGTCCTAGGTTAAGAAGAACGTGTAATTGAGTAATAGTCCTTTTTGAATTCGGAAACTGATCATTCCTAATGGTAATAATTATGTTTTATAGTCCTTTTTGAATAAGGAAACTAATAATTCCTAATAATAATTTTGTTTTAATTTAATTTATGACGGGATATATGTACAACATATATAGAAGGGTGGCGTTATTTATTTAAGGGAATGAGTTTAATTTATGGAAATTGTTCTTGATTCTTATAATTAGGATCATTATATTATCTCTCTCTATTTAGCTTATTTATTTGGTTTCGGTTGAATAAAATAGGGATTAAATATAAAATTAGTGACAATGAGTATTCATATCATCTCCAACTTTGTTATGCACCGCAGAAATTTGAGATTCACAAATCAAACTTTTTTTTTTTCCTAAAAATGGTTTTGTTATGCACGGGATCAAACTTATGCATAAATATACTATATTTAAAACTATGAAACATATATTTAGCTCAGAATACAAAGATAAATTGTAGTAAATAGCATATTTATAAAATTAAATTAAGTATATAGTAAATTATAAAACTATTTAAAGTAAATAAAAATCTACCATGTAAATGATTCATTTACTATTAGTAAAAAATAATTTACATGGTTTGAACGCACAGCACAGTATGAATCCTTTTGGGATTCAATTGTTTGCTCTCTAAGTTATCCAATTGACTTATTTGATAAGTTGTCTAATTTAAAATTCAAATTGATTTAACTTTGACTTAAATTAGAATTTGAATTTGAGTCAAAATTGGATTGCATGATAAATGCAGAATTTTGTACTATTCTTTACCTGCAGTATGCGCCTACCACAAGGAGAAATCTCCATGTGGTGGCCTGCCAACATATGGATAAGGGAGAGTGGATTTTGTTTCAAAATCAAATTGGAAGTGGAAGATAATTATCAAGTTTTATCTTTGAGATAAAGATTAGACTTCTTCTTAAAGTCTGACTACTACTCTATAAATAGGAGATTGAAGAAAATTAGAGCATACAATTTTTGCTCTCCTAAGCATATAGTGGCCAAATTATAGAGTTTGTGGAAAGGAAAAATTCTCTCCCAAATTTCACGTTGTGCATGTGTTGGTGTTCGTGGAAAATCTTAAGTGTTTATTTGCTAATCCCGTTTTGTTTCAGATGTGCCCACACACATGTTTTCGTAGATTCTAGGAATTGACGATAAAGATTCGGGTGTTCTAAACTAGCTTGGAGCAAAGAACATTCGTGGTCAAAGAGTTCAAGTTATCGACATAATCGTTCACCAGGTAAATAAATTAATTTGATTAATTTATTCGTGTATAAATCAATGTAATCTATAGAGTATTTTAAAGTTTTATGAAAATTTTTGTTATACACAATTTGTTAAATACATGCTTCAGCATCTGAAATCGTTTCAGATTCTAACAATTATTAGTAGTAGAGCTGCAACCAAATCAACGTGTCCACCACTCTAATTTTGAAAAATTGAGTTTCAAGCCAAAAGTTATAAGATTTTAATTGTGTCTAAAAACAATTATAATAGTACCCTCACTAAATGATATAGTTACATCTGTATTTAATCGACATTTATCTCTACTTTTTCTCATAGTATCCCCACTAAAACAATTTTCTGGTTCCGCCATTGCAATATTACACCGATGCATGTGATGTTAATCTCTCACCTGTGAGTGTCGTGCACCAGGATGGCTCAAAAAATTGGTCCCGGTTTGTGCAATATTTTCATCACATAAATAAGATTTTCAGTAGATATACTTTTTTTTTTTGGAGTTTCAATAGATATCGTGGGGGTTTTTTTTTTTTTTTTTTGGAAAGGAATAGATATCCTGTTAGTATTGGGACTTTATTTACTATTATTATTATTATTATTATTATTATTATTATTATTATTTGGAAAAGAGTATCATTATGGTACCATGTAATTTAACACTTCAAATTGGTACCTTCATGTTTCATAAACAACATCATTCGTACTACTCTAAATATCTTTTTTTGACTACTTATAAAACTTCGGAATATCCTAATTTTTAAACATTAAAAATAAGGAATAATTATCAAAATTCTCCATAAATTATACCTCTTGTAACACTTTACCCTATGATTTTTAAAACATAACATCTTTTCTCCCTAAACAATAAAATGTTAACAAAAAAGCCCCCTCCGTTCAGTTTTTTAACTGAAATTGACATTTAATTTGCTATTTTAATGGTATATGTTTTAATAATTGAATAGTATAAAATTTAATTTGAATTAAATTAATTTAAATATTAAAAAAACTTCAAAATTCTTTTCATTCTACTAAAAAAATTCATAAAATTTTTAACTTACATTCAATCAATAATAGATTTATCATAATAAGAGTTCAAATTTAAATTAGTTTAGTTCAAACTAAATTTTAAACCATAGACCTACTAAAATACTCATAAAATAACAAATTAAATGTCAATTTTCGTTAAAAAAAAAACGTAGGGAGCTTTTTTGTTAACATTTCATTGTTCAGAGGAAACAAATGTTACATTTCAAAGATTATGAAGCAAAATATTACAAGAGGTATAATTCAAGGGCAGTATTTATAATTAATCCTAAAAATAGTAATACAGAAAATTAAGATAAGAAACTAAAAGTAAAACAAAAACTCCCATCTCCTGAAAAAATATGAAAATACGGACTCCCTACCAAAAGAGTAAAATAGAAAATTTCTCTGATGTTTTCTCTTTTTTTAGAATATCGGTGTTCCCTGCTTATCAGTCGTCGGATCTGTATTATTTTTTTCAATCTGATTTGACTTTTAACTATATTTAATACAGATCTGACGGTTAATAAACAAAAAACACAGATCTTCTCAAAAAAGAAAGAACGTCAGAAAAAGTCCCAATTAAATATAATCAATATTTTCGAGTTACTTTAAGCCCCATTTACAAGTGTTGGTATTCCCCTCCCCTTCTATCAATATTTTCAAAAGTTATCAACACCAAAAAATAATAGTTACTAATAGTTGTTTAATTTAAAAATGTCAAAAAAATTTTGCGACATTATATAGTATAATATTCTCACTGGCTTACGTATATATCTGTGTAGCGATAGAGGGTTTTTGCAGAAAGAAACACAAAACCAAAGAAGAGAATGGAAAAAAAGACGATCATGGAGGCCGGCGATCGGCTATCAGGTTTAGAGGAAAGCCTCATCCACCACGTTATGTCGTTTCTTTCTCCTGCCGAAGTCACACGGTTATCCACCTTGTCAAAACGACTGTCGTCTGCCAGCCTCTCTTTCCCAACACTCGACTTCCAATACCGTCTGCGTGGTACTGGCGAGGACCGATACTTCTTGGACTCCGTGAGCAATTCTCTCGAACGACGCCGTAATTTGGAAACCAATTTTGAGCAGCTGAATTTCGATGTTTACTTGATTTTCCAGAGAAGTAGATTGCACACACAAGATTACCTCATAATCCGAAGGTTGAACCCCGTAATGAAGCTGCTAGAGAATGTGATTAATTTTGCCCTAGACAAGAAAATCGAAGAACTGAATCTTCATTGCAATGGGGATCACCAGCAAATCTTTCGTTCGCAAAATACATTGGCCCATAAAAGTCTTAAAAGATTGCCAGACGATGTATTTTCGGCGAAAACAATCAAGAGAATGAAGTTGTGCGGGCTCTTGTTCGGTTTTCAAGATTTGATTCTGAGTTGTCCTTTGATCGAGGATTTACATATTATTAGTTGTTATGGATTAAAAAGTATCCGAGTACTGTCTAGTTGTTCGAAAAGCATCAAAGCAATTTCCATTCAACGTTGCTCTGGACTGGTTGCAATTCATGTTGACGAAAAAGTGAGTCTTGAATCGTTTTCATATATTTCCAACTCTAACAAAATTGTCAACATCAGTATTGCTTCTCGCAAGTCTCTTAAATTCTTGAAATTAGTGGGAGCGTGGATTAGTGACGAGTGGTTTCAAGCCAACGTTGCAGAATTCGTATCACTCGAGACTCTGATATTGTCTGAATGCCAAAACTTGAAAACCATGTTTATATGTAATGAGAATCTAAAGTGTTTGGAGTTGGAGCATTGCAATAGGCTAGAGAATATCCAAGTTATGGTATCAGGCCTCGAATCCTTTTCGTGCTCCTTTCCAGATTATAGAAGTGCTACTAGGAGTACCGACGTCAATATCGCTTCTTGCAAGTGTCTTAAATTCTTGAAACTAGAAAGAACAATGATTACTGACGAGTGGTTTCGAAACAATGCTGCGGAATTCAAATTGCTCGAGACTTTGATATTGTGTGAATGCCAAGGATTGAAAAGCATGCTTATACGCAATGAGAGTCTCAAGTGTTTGGAGTTGGACAGTTGCACTACGCTAGAGAATGTTGATGTCATAGTGTCGGGCCTCGAATCTTTTTCTTATTCCGGAAAAGCTGCTGAGATTTCCCAAATCAATCTCGCTTCTTGCAAGTCTCTTAAATTCTTGAAACTAGAAAGAACAATGATTACTGACGAGTGGTTTCGAAACAACCTAGCAGAGTTCAAATTGCTTGAGACTTTGATATTGCGTGAATGCCAAAAATTGGAAAACATGTTTATAAACAATGAGAATCTCAAGTGTTTGGAGTTGAATTACGGGTCTGAGCTAGAGAATGTTGATGTTATGGTATCAGGCCTTGAATCCTTGCAAATATATGATAGGAGTTCAACTCATGATCAGCTGCATTGTAAGATCAACGTGAAGGGCTGTAAGTTGCTCAATTTGCAATTTAGCGGGGAACTGAAGCCCTCACCTCCACTGCAACTCATCTCATCTGACGTGAAAAATGCGGAGATCTGCCTTGAATTGGGGTACTCAAGCAACGAGTGTAGAGGGTTTCAAAACAGCTTGAGAGATTTTCTCAACTTGTTTGCGCATTGCGACATAGTTTCTCTCTCCTCAAAAAGTAGTTCTGATACGGTAAGCATGACTTCTACATTGAGTTTGTTTATATCTTGATTGTGATTTTGGAATGTTATGAACACCATAAAAGCACGTGTCAATTTTATATATATATATATATATATATATATTTTTCATGATGGATAGTGAAATTTATATATGTTCTGTAAATTAAATCGTTTCTCTTTTGGTTTTTCTTGCTCGTGATTTTATACTTATAATTTAATCTTTTGGCGTCTTTGTAAAGTGCTACCTCATTTATCCTGAACAAGAGAGAAAGGCCTTAATTCCTCCACTTTATGACGTCAAGCATCTGAAGATACAAGTTACGGTTCTCATATTCAAATCTATGAGAATTATGGAATTAGTTGATAGCTTGCTTTGGTTTTCTCCTCATCCAGAGTCTATATCAGTCATCCTTTATGACAGTAGCTGCAGTACAAAAGAGTTCATAATAAAGGTTCTTTCCTCTGTCTATCTGCCCATTTTTGACTTCATAATTATTATTATTATTATTTAACAATTTGTTACGTCAGATGAAATTTTGACAATATTTGTTCTCTTCTATCAAGCTTGTTGGCTAACTTAATGCTCAGTTTCATTCAAATACCTTTTTTTTTTTTTCTTTTGCAATTCCTTTCTCAACCTAATAAAATTGAGTAAAACTTGAACAATTTTCAGTATAAATACTTTTCCTTACCTTTTAATCTTGTGCCGTTGTTACAAATATTCAATGAGGTAATTAAATTAACTTTGCAGTTCTATTATGGCGTGCCCACGAACTCTGAAGTCGAAGAAGATAATGTAATTACCTGCTGCTCATCGTCTCCGGTGAGATGTTGGCGACATGACTTGACTGAAGTTGCAATAGAGAACTTTGAAGATTGCGATAGGACAAGTCTTCAGATTTATTTCATGGAAAACGCCAAGACCAGGATCAGAGTCATTTGAAAAGGCCAGCAAAATTTTAATTTCCTCTTGAGCTGGTTGGTTATCCGCAGATGGTTTATTTGTTTTGTTTTATGATCTGAGTTTACTATTGACTGATTTGCTAAATTTGCATGCAACTGGCATGTCAATTTAATTAATATTTACACTCCTCTTGGACTTATTTACTTTCCCTTGGAAGATGCCAAGTCAATTTTACTGGCTCTTTAATTTTCCTACTTATAATTTAATATTTACTCCTGTTTTTATGTGGCGTGTTCATTCAAAAGATAAAATATATATATATATTTTTTTTTTTCATAATTTTTATTAGTAGTTTTGAGAATAAAGTTCTTAGATAAGTTTTAAAATTAACTTGTAAATTTAATTACGTCTAAACTTGGGGTGCTTTACATGATAGATGTCTCTCTTGATTATAAAACTGTTATGTGTGTGTACGAGAAAGGAAGAAATAAATGAAATTTAAGAAGAGGCCGATATTTCAAGTTATTAAAAAAAAAAAAAAAAAACTTTCTAACATCATTGTTACATTGTATCAGAACCACAACTAAATTAATATGCCTAGCCTACTCAAATTTTGAAAATTTGAGTTTTAGGCCAAAAGTTATTATGTAGTTGTGTGTAAGAAAATTATAATAAATCACTCACTAAATGATATAATTCCATTTATATTTAGTCGACGTTTATCTCTAATTTTTTCATAGTAACCCCACTAAAAATATTTTCTGCTTCCGGCCCTGAAGTTTGGTCCTCAGATTCATCTAGACGCCGGCTTTCTCGTGATGGTGACTGTGTGGAACGGCGCATCCATTATGACGGATCTAGCATGTCTTGGAGGTGGGTTGCTTCTCGGTTGGACTGTTGTTTTCAACGTGTTCGTCGGTGGGTGGCCGCACTCCTATGGTGTGTTGATCCACATGATGGCGTGATTCTCTGGGAGGCGGTGGTTATGTTCTTCGTTGTCCTCTGAGGATGTCTCCACTCAGATCTAGCTTCCGTTCCACGACTAATGGCTTGTTACCGATGGATCTTTCTTTTGTTTAGTTGTAATAAGAGCATTGATGTTTACGCCCCTTTGGTGTTTTTTTGTTGTTTTACTTTGGTGTTTTTGTTTCGGTAATAACGGATGCGATGTTCTCCGCTTATGTCCCCCACCCGTTTGTAGACGAAGTTATAACGCCTCAACCCGTCATGGGGTTCACCTCGTGTGACCCCAAGTATAGACGGGTCTTATACTCATTACTCATACGTATTGTCCTTTTCAGATACCTAGCGGCCCTTCAAGATTTTTTTGCGTCCACCACCACTTAAACCCAGAACTTTCATCTTTGTAAGGATCTTAAGTCAAGTGTTAGGAGACGCGCAGCAGCTTTGCATCAAGCGGGCCCAACAATGAACCTGCATCAGCCAATGAAGATAGAATGTCCTTTAATGAACTGCCGTTTATAAGAAACGCCGTCAATTATTTAAGATGTCATCGTTTTTAAGTTTGCCATCGTTGATTTTCCCTTTTGGAAAAAAAAAAAAAAAAAAACGAACAAACTTCCACAACATTAGAAACTGCATATTAAAGGTGCACGGTAGCTTTAGGAGTCAAGCAAGATATCTAAATGGATGACCAAAAGAGAAATTACAAATTCAAAACAGCACTACATCGTCCAGATAGTTGGATATCTTCATCCCCTGAACTTCAAAATGGACCCAGAAAGCAATAAATTTATGAGAAACACGTCAATTGCCATAGAGTAAAAATCTTCAATCTCTTTCAGGCAGCTTCAAGAAAAGTCAAACGGGACGTGGACGATAAGAAGTTGGACCAAGTAATGGTTCCAGAGCACTAGCTAGAACTTTCATCCATGTCCACAAACAAAGACCACGAATCTAAACAATTGTAAATCCATTTCCAATAGATCTCTTTGAACTTTCTACCCTCATCAACTGTATTTCTTGATTGGGTGCAAGAGTGAAATGTTTCACAAAAAGGGCGCAGAAGCACTCTCATATCCCACCAAGCATTTCTCCAAGAAAACAGCAAACTTTCTAATTCAAGCTAATTCTTTTATGATCAACACAGAATCAATACTATCTCTATAATATTGGAAATTTCTTGTTCTACAAAAAGAACAATGAGGTTTTTGCTTTTATATGCAGCAGAAGACTTGCTCATCTTGTGGAACCATCTCGCTCTCCAGTATTTACTATTTCCCCCGTCTCCACTGCAACAGTAGAAGTGTGGCAATTTGACTCGGCCACAGCTCCTGCAACCAAATGTGGTAGATAAGAGATGAAACTCTGTACCAAATATTTAGTTTCTATTTTTTTTAATCTTTTTTTATCGCATGTACCAAATATTGAGTTGCCATTACACGAATTTGTATAGGGAACTTTTTTGAATTTTACGTTACAACTTGCAAACTTCGAATATTGGATTTAAGTAAGTTATGATAGACTTTTACATCAGAACTTGCAAGCTTCAAATCTTGAAGTTGTAAACGTTATGATAGATTTGTGTACCGGCACGTTACCTTGAAGGCACCATAGAAGGACCCTATGTATATAGAGTTTAGTCATCATAATATAAACTAATATACAACACTACAGCAACATATGTATTTAGGTGCATGAGGTGTCCAATTTCTCAATCATACACCAGAGAACTTTGTAAGCACATGGAATAATTAAATCAAATCAAATCAAATTTGATGAATGCCACATTATGTAATGACAGTTTCAAAATAGCATTCTTTCAATAATTTTATCATGTAAATAAAATATCAGCTTTTTAAATCCCTTTCGCCATTCAAACTCCTCATATCAAGCTTTCCCAATGACATTTAATACCAAAACATATAACAGTTTTTGAAATCAACTTAAGTGGGGAAAGAAAAAAAAAACTGAATCTATATTTTCAGAAACAATTGAACAAAACAATTGCTAAATCAAAATCAAAATCCTTACTTGCAACGGATTATAACTGGAGTAGGCTTGAGAGCTTTCGGACCATTTCTTATGCCCCTCTTGTGAGGAGAAACCTGCACAAAACAAGTCACTGTTTATACCTAGTACCCACTAAACCTTAAAAAAAAAAATCTACAAAAGCAAGCACCTTTCTCTTAGGAACAGCCATGAGCTCCATGGACCCATCGGAGGAGAAGCTTGGGAAGCCGAATCCGATGTTTCCAAAATTATTGGAATCGTCCACTGACGGCGGATCAAACTCCGGGAAAACCCACGGTGGCGATGTGATACTGCAGTGGATGGTCATGATCCCATCCAACGGCGCAGGACGAGCCGTGCTGTGGGCCCATCTGAGGCTCAACAAGCTAGCGACATTGCCTCTGGCGCTCCTCAGTGTCAACCACATTTGCAAATTTTTGGAGCGGAAGGAGCAACAATAGAGTGGGATGAAGACCGGCGCTGAACTTAAGAACCGAATGGAAAGTTATTTTGGGAACGAGAAGTAAAATTACTCTAACAACACCTCCTACTTATGACAAGAAAAAAAAAATCCATATTTAACCAATTGTTTTTCTTTTTGGTTTGTGTGTGTTTTTAAGCTTTTTAGATTCATTCTCACAGTGTCCATTCATAATCCTACTGATAGTCCCAGATTCCAATACGCTTACAAGAGCAAGATATGGGTTTATTTCACACCCTAAAACCAATGACAAGAATAGAACCACAAAGGTATTAATCACTTTTAATAAGCAAAATCATCGAAATCAGCATTAGAATAAAGACAAACTTCCTAGGAATTTCAACAAACACCTGATAGGCAATTCATAAACTCTCTTCATGACCAGAAAGAAAATATGGTTAAAAGTCTCTTGCCATCGGTTTGTGTTGTTTAGGTGGAAGAAGTAAAAAATTAATAGTAGTTAGAACATTTGATCTCCGTGAAGTTTCAAAAGCCCCGTTCATTTCGCTGATTCGAGTTTAGAATTCGAATTTTTCTACAGTAAAAAGTTCTCACAAACAATCACATCTAACTTTTTTATTACAATAAAAAGCGTTCACGTAAAATCACATCTCAACTCAAATTAAAAACTCGAATCAGCAAACTAAACGGGCCCAAAGATTATCAATGTAGCTTTCACTATTTGATGTGCACCAACTACATTTGGTATATCATATTACTAAAAATTTAGCGTTTGATGTTGATTTGAATTATACTAAATCCCTCAATACAACTTCAATCGTTTAAAAAAAAAAAAAAAAAAAAAAAAAGAAGTTTTCAGCAATACTCAACAAGGGAAAATGAGAGAGAGGAAGATTACCATTTAACAGAGAAGAGTCAAAGAATCGTAGAGGAGTTCAGCAATACGTTTTTGCTAGGGCGAATCAAAAACTAAGGAGAGAGATCGATAAAACGTTATTATGTCAGGGTTTCATTCAAAGTCTTTGCATCAGGAAATCAGACAAATAAGTATAGACGCTTAAAGAGTTTGTCGTGTAATTTAAAGAAGAGCT